GTATGTAATGTTTGTTGCACACTGCGCATGATAACAAATACAGTATATTGTGATTCAATACTTCATGGCCGAAGTCTGTCATACCCACTGGTAATATTTTGTGTACATGTACAACAAACACTATGCATAATCAGTTGATAAGTTCTGCAACAATTATATGCACGATCCTACGTAATTTCTTTATTATTATTACAAGAATATACAACTGTCAAATTCATTAAGACAACAAACATTCTTTCTCTGATACTGTTATAATCTGATGCTAAATCGGGCATCGCTTGTCGTAATACTGATAGCATATGCATCCGATCTATGATGCTTGAGTAAATTAGTGAGTGTTGAAGACTTCTAGCGCAATAAAAGAAAAGTGAATGTTTGAATTTGATTCTGACATGAATTGGTCAATCTCTATAATATCTATCATTATGGAACGTTTACAGCATAACTTACCATGAATCCATAATAAAGTATGATTTTTACAGCCTCAGTAATCTTGTCTTCCATCCTAGCATTGTCTTAACAGCAAGGTCTCTAATTTAGATGTGGGGTATTTGGTCTCTTTCTTGCTAGTGCCGACTTCTAAGAGTTGAAAATGAAAAGTGAGATGCATGATTAATAGAGAACGAAAGACTTATATTCTTGTAAGTGAGAAAGAGTATTTGGAATGAAACGTACAGCCTTGAGTTCTTAATGTCTTGTTGGAATAACTCAGTCACTTTTTTGCATTTGAACAGCAACACAAATTCTTTTGACCATTGAAACTTTTAACCTGATACCCACCATAATGATATGTGCGACAAACATTACATATTTCGTCGGTCGATAAGAAATTTGATTTGTTATCAGAAATACTTTAATAATAGATACACAGATTATCTACTTTGTATAAATTACATTCTAATAGTAAAGCTCGTTTATACAGAGAACCAATGATTGTTTGCTCATGGCATATAAAAAGTAATAGGTTCAATTAAACCCATCTTCAGTAGGCTATCATAAATAATTTGTTGCGATTTGTTGTTTTAAATATTCAATAACGATTAATGGTGTTCTTACATTTACTTGTGTCTGTATGTTTTCTAAATTCCTCGTCACGATACCTATTAAGAACAAAGAAGCCACTGCATGTCTCGTATTCAAAATGTTAGGTTTGCCAATTACCCAAAGTATTCGATATAGCAATGCTTGTAGTTTGTACACCTTTAGCATTAATCACAGGTGGAACTAATAAAGAAACATACTGTATACTGCCAACATATCGAAACAGAGTGTTGGAATAAATTTTGATCATCTACCACAGAATGTAACGGAATATGGTATAATTTGTTTCCAGAAATTATCGACTGAATACGTAATGTTTGTTGTACATGGTACATAATATAATTGTGGTTCTCTCACTTAAAACTGCTAAATGCAAGCATCTGGGATGTTGTAAGACAATATATTCAATGGTCAAAGAATTTGTATTGATCAAACACATGCGCTTTATCTTTGTGGAACTCAATGACCAGTATGCATCAGACCCTTCCCCACAGCAAACACTCCTAGTACTCCATCTATGACATCAACACTGAGCAACTGATAGTAAATCAAGGCAGCTTTCCTATGGCAGCAGATGTGCAAATAAAAGAAATTAGAATGGCGATTACGAATTATTATAACAGTACTGGAGCAAATGTGTCAAAAGAATATCTATTGCAGCAGACATTAAGAACTCGAGGCTGTACGTTTCATTCCAAATATATATATTTTCTCACTCACTAAATCAGTCTTTCATGCTATATTAAACATGCGTCTCACTTTTTCATTTTCAACTCTTAGAGCCGGCACTGGCAGAGATGATATACCTGCTAAGTACCCATACCGAATTTTAAATTATGCTAAGAGAACTTCCGCCAATTCGGGACAATTCTACATAGTACCAAAATACGACAACATTAATATTAGGAATATATACTCCTGCTTATGCAATTAATTCTTCTATCAAAAAGAAAACTGACATGATACTGATTATATCAACCGCACCATGGAAACATATTCAAATCGACCTCATCAACTTCCATGAGTTTTCCAATGTAAATAGTGGGGTTGCATGGTTGTTAACCTGTGTTTGCATTTTCTCCAAATTCCTTGTTGCAATACCTATGAAGAGCAAGGAAGCAACAACTGTTGCTACTCACCTTGTGAAAGACATATTCAAAATTTTGGTTGCCAGATACTCTCCAAAGTGATAATGATACAGGTTATATCAAATGCACCATGGAAACATATATTAATACTTCTATGATATATTATTATGTACTTGTATACTCAAGATAACGTCATTACTTATCAGCTCTATGTTTTTCTTTCTCAAACGTAATTGTGTTTCTATTGTAAGTTGCACGTAGATTGTTAGAATTGAATTGTGCATTGTAGACTTGTATGTAAATAAACGTTTGTAAAAGTATTGCAATCGACGGAATGCATATCGATTTTACGAATATGTTCAATTGTTTATAGATCACCATCTGTGACAGGTTGAAGCATAAATTCTGTACACGAATTCTTACACGCGTTTTATCGACCATTCTAACATACGTTTATATCAACCATTTAACACACGTTTTATATCAAAAAAAAAATGCCAGCAATTGTAAAGATTCCCGAGACAGTATCTGAATACCAGGCTATTGTCACATACCTCCAGTCAGATACTATACCTCTTGATATCCAAAACAATCGTATAGCAAAGTCTAATTTTATTCGTAGATGCAAAAAATTCGAAGTCGATGAGAGGAACTTTCTTTATGTCTCTACTGTTCGGGATAATGCTACAACACGTCGCCGCATAGTACCAAAATACGACAACGGATTATGCAAATTAATATTAGAACGCTTCCATGACCAGGCCAACCATCGTAGTTACCATAAGACCTACTCTGCTATTGCAGAGAATCATATTGGCATCACACAGGAAGAAGTGCAGAAATATATTAATGAATGCCCTGCTTGTGCAATTAATTCTTCTATCAAAGAGAAAACTGACATGATACCGATTATATCAACTGCACCTTGGAAACATATTCAAATCGACCTCATCGACTTCCATGAGTTTTCCGACGTAAATAGTGGGTTTGCATGGTTGTTAACCTGTGTTTGCACTTTCTCCAAATTTCTTGTCGCAATACCTATGAAGAACAAGGAAGCAACAACTGTTACTACTCACCTTGTGAAAGACGTATTCAAAATTTTGGGTCCGCCAGATACACTCCAAAGTGATAATGGCAAGGAATTTGTTGCTGCAGTCGTTACACAGGTTTGCAACAATCTTGGCATAAAGATCAAACACAGGCGACCTCGTCATCCCCAATCCCAAGGCCAGATCGAACGTCTTAATCAGACTATTGGTCGCGGTTTCACTAAGCTGCTCTGGGATAACGAGCATAAACTACAAAGAAAGGATTGGATAAACGTTATTGATGC